CATTGAGAACCGGGGATCTGGAGTGACTAGCAGGGCTGCGTCCCCTCGGTCAGACCTGCTGCCTCGCCCAGATCGTGGAGCTGCAGCAGTGTGCGCTGCGTCTTGTGCCGCCAGGGTACAGCCGGCTTCCTTGCGTCCCGCTGAAAAGTCCTCCCAAGTCGCGTAGCTTGCCCCCGAGGCAGCGGGCGTCCGAGACGGGGCAGGGTGCCCGCTTGGTCCTTGCTCTCCGAGTAGTCCCCTTGTCCGGCGTGGGCTGCGCAGGACATCGGGTGGCTGTTGTGAAATCACAGTCCCGGTAATGGGACAAAAGTCAGGGCCACGCTGGGCCGGGGGGACTGAGCTGTAGGTCTCGTTGACTGTTAAATCAGAAAGCGTCATTTGCGTTTGGGGTTCAAAAGCCATTTTGTAACAGCAGTATCCCTTTTCTACGGCCTTATCGATGAGTCTGAGTATGGTATCCTTTTATTTTATTGTATTTTATTTTTTAAATGAGTCGGCTCCATTTCCTTCTCTCTGTGGCATGAGAATTGTGTGCTGAGACCAGACGAACGTTTAGCCGTTGTCTGACTTGCAGTTTTCTGATCAAAGCTGTCTGCTCCCCATATGGTCTTTCCTCAGGTGCTAAACAAGGGTTCCAAAAAACGGATACTGCTTTAGAAGATTCTGCTTTATTCTTAAAATACATATTTTTTCCTTAGGTGTTGTAAAAATTCAGTATTTTAACAAGGATTTCTTTTTGAGTGTGTAAATAGTTCGGTTTTACCCCCTACCTTTTTGTCGAGACTCTAGCATCTAATTTTCCTTTGCTTCTTTCGAGAAGGATCCTCTTGTGACCTTGAAGACATTTCATTTCAGTGTTGCTGCATTTAAGATTTGAATCGACAACTGTTCCCGTCTTGGATTAATGCTACTGCTGCTATGAGTAACTCTGAAAACCGAGAATGTGATGCACTTTTTTTACATGACCATATAGTTCCTCTAAGGATGGTTTGATCCCTCCTGTAACACAGCCACTAATTTGAAGGGGAACCTAGCAACTGCAAGCCCGGAGAGACGCCAGGGTTTGGGAGCTGAGCGTAACTAACTGGTGCTGAACCATCTTTGAGAATTACTATGCAATGCAATGCCAGCAAAGGAAAACTGTGCTAACTTGAAAGAACACTGTGTATTTTTTCCCTCCTTCCTTGCTTCGAGCCGCTGTCGGAAGGGCAATGCGAATCTCTGAGGTCTGTAACTTTCTCTTCCTTTTTGGCTGGAGCGGGGAAGACGACCACGGATAATCTTGGGTCAGCGGACTGTGCCCTAGTGGCTTGCTGCTCGTGCAGATACTTGGCAGGCCAGTGCTGATCTCAGCAAGATCGCTTTTTGAACGCTTCGTCGCCAACAGTATCGGAAGTCACATGAGCTTCCCCCGGGGCACGGGGCAGCCCGGCTGGCCTCCGCCGTGGGCATTCTCCACCTGTTCTGCCAAGCGTATGGAGCAAGGCCTGGGGATGTCCGCTCTCTGCTGCGCCAGGGCACCGGCTCGCAGCCTGGAACGGCTCGCCTCCGTCGCTCTTTGCCAACCCGTTCACGAGCCGAGCGCTCCCTTGCTTTGCTGAGGTAACCCTGGCAGTCCGGAGCAATGCTGGCTCTGAAGGAGGCAGGCGAGGGGAGAGGTGCCAGGAACTGAAGAGAACCGGCTTGACCTCTCTGCTGATCACAGACTCTTTCAGCAAAGGGGGTGTTATTTGTACAGACGAGAGAAGGCCGGAGGGGGCACGGGCAGGGTGAGCGTGCCTGGGAGATGCAGCCCCGCTGCCGGCAGCATGGCAGGGGGATACCGCTGCCGGCTTCACTAGCTTCTCCGGCGCCGGGGCTTTGCTGAGCAGCATTTTGCTTTTTCTCCTCTTAACGTGCCTTCCGGGGGTGAGAGAGTTTCTTTCGAACAGAGGCTGCAGGTTGCTCGAGTCTCTTGCGAGCTGCTGGTGCCCGGGGTCGGTGGCTGGCCGCCTCGCTCGCGCGCCTGGCATTGCAAGCGCACCCCTCCTGCCGTCTACATTGGCTGCAGTGCTCCGTAACCAGCTGCTCGCTGTTGAAACGGGAGCCTTATCTCTGAGCTGACTCTGAATAGTGGCTGTTTTACACGCTGGGGGGTCATCCCAGTCCTATAGCATAGCACCTTCCTCTCTTAACGTGACCTTCGCGCGCGCGCGCGCGCGTGTGTGTGTGTGTGTGTGTGTGAGCACGCGTGTGTGACAAATTCTGGCTTGCTGCTCTTCTGTTAACACGAGGAGGTTTTGTAACGCTTTGTCTGCAAAACGAGCGGTAGTCTGGAACCGAGTTCAGGCTTTTCTGCAGAGGCTGAAAATTGTTTCCCAAGGGGCTGTTTTTCCTTCCCAGGTAGTTTCGTTTCTTTTTTCTTTCTTTCGTTCGTTCTTTAAAAAAAAAAAAAAAAAAAGGAAAAAATAAAAAGATGAAAAAATTTTGTAAAGGAAAAAGACGACGCACCTTGCTTAAGTAACGTTCAGAGAAACGCTTATGTTTGCAACCCGTTTGCCTCCAGAATATTGAACTGTGCAATTCTTGGCTTTCTCCATTCGGCACCTCTCTCTAGATTCACTCTCCCTGATGTGTGGTTTCTGTTCGAGTCTCTGTACTTCTGCCACTGTAAATGTGAAAGCTTGCTTGCATTACTTTTTAGAAATGCATTTTGCACACGCGGGTTTCGCTGAAGCTCCGTGAAAAGGTTAGTTCTAAGCAGATGAATAAAGCTATGCACATGTTTTGAAAGATTTTAATTTGTCCCTCATTACCAGAAGTGACTTATCTGCCCTTTTTTTTTTTCTCTCGCATTCCTGTGCTATCATCGCGTCCGTTGGCTTTCCCATCTCTGCACGAGTCTGACCTGAGGTGACAGTTCTGTGCTAGCTGTTAGCTGTAGCAGAAACCAGGGCCTCTTCAGTTCAGTTCAGTTCAGTTCAGTTCAGTTCAGTAGCCTGGGTTGCATTTGAAAAGGAAAAGCAGCTTCGCTGGGGGAGGAGAGGGTGCCGCGGTTGGCTTTCCGGCCGTGCTAGCAGGTGACCTGGTGTCTTCCTTCCTGTTGTGCAGGTTGTGACTGGGGGACAGCCGTCGGTGTGCCCGCACCAGCCCTCTGGAGGGGCCGTGGTGCAGATCCCGGTCGTGCTGGCTGTTCTTTTAGCCTGCAGCCCGTCTGGTGCAGCCACGTCTCGGCGAGCCCAGGGAGTGCCAGCAAACTTCCGGCTGCGCCGAGACCAAACGCACGCTCCGTGGGGCTGGGCGAGCGGGACAGGCCGCGTGCTTGTGTCTGGGGGGAATCTTGGTTCTTTTGACCTCCGGGCTGGGAAGGGGGACCATGATGCGTCCTGGTGCCTTCGCTTCGGTTGTGCTAAGAGGTGGCATGGCTGGGTGGCGGGCACCGTCTGCGAGAGCCCAGAACCATAGGGCAGGCAGGGCTGAGTTGCCAGTAGAGGAAGGACCCGGGAGCTGCCCATCCTCTGCCCCCTTCTCCTCGGTGGAGCGTAGTCCTCGTCTTGCAGGAGCGTTGCTCAGCTCAGGGCTGCTGCTTCTCCGCCGTCGCTCATACGTAGGCAGCATGGCAGCCTGCTGGGGGCTCTTGGCGTGTTTATATAGGACAGCGTAACCCCCTCCCCTGCCTGTCTCAGTGTTAGCGGCACCCCAATGCCACGCTCCCTGGCAGTAGCGGCAGCGTCCCCTCCTGCCCGCTCTAGTTCTCATTTCAGCTTGGCTCCCTGGCACGTAGCCTGCCCGTGGCGCAGCGCTGTCCTGGCGGCCCGGGAGCCGCGCTACCTCGTGGGGGCGGCAGGGACGGGGCCTGGCGCAGCATTGAAGGTTTTGTTTTTTCTTGCCTCCTTTCCAATAATTTCAACTCAGTGAGTGCGTTTTTTAACCCAGCTGGACCCGTGGTCCGTGGCCAGGGTGCGAGGGTGCGGGTAGCGGGCGTGGGGTGGGATCTAGGGACCCGCCGCAGCTCCGGCTAGTGCAGGCTGTCACGGACTAAGGCTAGGTAATGTCCACACGTTGTAATGGCATGACGTATCGTTACTGGCAATGTCATACTTCACCCTCTCTCAATGTTTAGAAAATTACCTGACTTTGGTTTTAACTTGATACTGCACCAACAGGTCTTCAGAAATTTTATCCCCAAATTTTACTATTTTATCAGGAAAAAAAGAACTGAGAGAAATTTGTGTAGATCAAATTATGTTAAAGACAGACGATAAGTGATGTAAATTGTTGAATAAAAATTTTAAAGTTTGCGGGTGTCGGCGTGTGCTTCTTTCCTCTTCCTCCCACCTCGCGAGCCCCTCGAAGCGCGCAGCCGGCGGGCGCAGTCGCGACCGGGTTACTCCGGTGCACGGTACAGGACGCTGCATCGTGCATCGGGGTTCGTAGTGCAGCGATGCCCAGGTGAGAGGTGGGCCGGGCTTGGAGGTGATGGCGTCGGGGCAGAGCAGAGGCTGGTCGGAGGTGCCTGGGGTCCAGCTGCCCTGGGCAGGAGTGTGGGTGGGGATTACAGGGCTCAAGCTGAGGTTGGCGATGCTCTGGGGGGGCTTGGCATCCTGGATCTACCACCCTTGCATGTAGCAGGGAGAGGGGAAGGGGGGCCGGAGCCAGTTCCCACGGGAGAGCAGAGGAAGTGGAAGATACCCTGGCTGCCGCGAGGCCACCTCCACACCGGGGTCAGCTACGGGCGGTGTCTGTGGCTGCCCAGCGCCCCACGGCCGCGGTACTGCAGCTTTTGCCTGCTTTGCCTCCCTGTCTGGGCTTCGCAAGGGGCTGTGCCTGCTCCCGCCAGGCTCGTGGGCGCGATGCCCAGCGCCAGGGCCTGCTCGGTGAAATCCCAGGCTCGCGCTGGGTTAGTCACAGCTGCATTTAGTCCTCGCCCCGGTGTGCCCCTGCGGCACGGGAGAGACTGAACCCCCCGCCACGACCACCCTCAGCAGGGCTGCAATCACCACCACGCAGCGGGTCTGGGTTTCAGGCACCTTTATTGGCGGCTGGGAGGGCCCCGAAGCCGTCGCGCTAGAGTACAGCAATCGGTTCGGTGTGCTGGTTACGTGGTCGGGGGGGGTGTTAGCACCAAGGGGGCCGGCGCAAGAGGCTGGCCCGGCGGGAGGGAAGCAGGGCGCCCGCGGGCACGGCTGCCTACTGCTGGATGCGGCGGAGGGACTGGATCTGGAAGGTCTGGGCGTGGGAGCCCCACTCTCTCCAGTGCTTGTAGTCTCCTCCGTGGTGGTCGGACTCCAGGATGTACTGGTAGCCACGATAGCCAGGGTACTGGTAGCAAGCCCAGCTGCAACCAGACAGACGGACCCGGGTGTGAGGACACGGGGAACAGGAGCTGCCCCAGCCCACCCCGTGGGGTTGGTGTCAGGCCTGCGTGCTCCTTCCACAGCCACGAACTTCCCTGTGCCAGGTCCTCCCCCTACCCCACTACCACCCCCAGGGCTGGAGACCACCAAAGGGACCGCGAAGCTGGGGCGGGCCCTGCCCAGAGGGGTTTAACTGGAGGAAGCCCCATGGCCCCGCTGCAAACCGCATGTGGTGGGTCTGCGTCCCCAGGGCACGTCCCGCGAGCCTGGACTTACGCGCCGCACAGGACCTTCATGGAGCCCACTTCGTTGTTGGCCCAGCCCATGGCCTGCAGCGAGGGGTAGTCGTCGCCGATCTCCCACTGCCGGCCCAGGAAGTTCTCCTTCTCGAAGAGGGTGATCTTGGACTCCTTGTGGTTCTGGCCGCGGAGGGGAGCACGGTGAGAGGGGAGCACAGGCAGCATCCCCCCGGCACAGCTGTGGCTTTTGGGCTCCCCTTATTGCTACTCGCAGCTGTGGCTCCAGGCCAAGAGCATTGTGCTCTGCTCGGGGAGCTCCCAAGCAGGCACGTGGGGGAAGGTGTGCGGGGCCCGGTCCCCAAACCTGCTGGGGCCCCGAAGCTTTTGGCAGCTCCTGGGCTGCACCTGCTTTGAGCGCTGCGAGGAGGACGGGGCCCGAGCACACCTAGCAAACCGGGCATGGCCCAGGGACCTGTAGCCAGGCTTCTTCACGGGACCTTGGGAAGGGAGCTGGCCCCGGGGCGGGCAGCGCTTACCGCGGAGCAGATGGGGCGGAAGGACATGAGGCGCTCGACGTGGTAGGCGTTGCTCCCGCTCCAGGCATCCCAGCGGGGGTACTCGCCCCTCTCCAGGGTGAACTGCTGCCCGCAGAAGCCCGTGTGCTCGTAGCCGATCCAGCTGCGGGGACAGAGCGAGAGGTGCCAGGGCTGTCCCGGGCCCCAGGGGCTGGGGCAGGCAGTGCTGGTACCACACATGCCGCCACGGGGACGTGGCCCCCTGCATCCTGGCCGCACAGAGCCCACCGGCGTTGCACGGACTGGGGGGTTCGTGCCATGCCCACGAGCAGCACGAAGCTGAACAGCGGTGGTTAGTTATGGGGGCAGCATTGGCATCAAGGGGGTGCACTGGGCCCGCCACGGCCACCGGTACTCACGCGCCGCAGTCCACCTTCAGGGAGCGGATGTTGTCGAAGCTGCACTCCATGATGTTGGCGCAGGAGGTGGTGAACTCCATGCGCTTGCCCTGGAAGTTCTCCTGGTCGTACAGGGTGATCTGGGAGGGAGGGAGAGTCCGTGGCCACGTTAGCCGCCCGGCGCCCCTTGGGTGCCCGATGCTCTGCCTGGTCCGGCTTCGTCCCCCACCTGCTGCCCCCCGTGCTCCCTTCCACCCTGCCCTGCCCACGGCTGCTCCTTGCAACGTGCGTGGCTTCTTCCAGCCACCTGCCCCGGCCCCTCGGTCGTCACCTGTCACCGGCCCGTGGCCTGGCCACCTGCAGATCTCTGAGCCCTGCCCTGTGCTGCGCGGGACCCCGGGCCAGGCCCCTTGGCTGCCCCATCCGAGCCATGTTTGGGGGCTGCTGCAGCCCGGGCCTGGCAGCGGCCGGGACGTACCTTCCAGGGGCCCGTCGGGACAGGCAGGGGGTTCGTCTGCGCCATCCTGGCAACTGGGGTGGAGTCTGGAAGTGGAGGAAGAGGGACACGTGTGGCTCGGTCACCCAGCGGGCCGCAGGAGAGAGCCTGCCTGCGCCCTGCACGTGCGGGCATCCGTGCACCAGGCTCACTCCTGCATGCTGCCACACGTCCCCAGAGGAGGGCAGTGCCGCTCAGCCCGGCCGGGCATGTTGCACCAGCCCGTGGCTGCAGGCAGGGCTGGACGGAGCTGCCCAGAGCCCCTGCCTGCCTGACCGGGCGAGTCCCTGGGGCTGGGGCCTGCTGTCCAGCTGGCTGAGCCCCCAGCCTGGGGATGCCGGCTGGACGGCATCCTCCACAGCGGGAGGCCACTGCGGGTGACCCCGTGGCACTCTCCTGGCTTCGTGGGCTGCAGAACAGCTGGGTTCATTAGCAAAGACCCCCAGCTGGATGGGGTTAGCCTTTCCCAGCCTGGCTCCCTGGCACGCTGCCCCTGCCCACGGCCGGAGGGACGTTGTCTGCCCCCAGTCACGGGTGTCTCTTCCCGTTGTCCGGCCCAGACTGAAGGTGAAGGAGCTGTGGCAGATACAGGGGTGGGACAGCCTGGGGGGGCCAGGCGGTCGTGCCTGGCTCTCACGCCCGTCCCGCTGGGGTTGTCACGGTCCGGGAAAGCCCAAGCAGCTGCCGGTGGGATGCACCCAGAGCCCGGGCAGACACGGGCTTTGCAAGGCAGGAGGGAGACGGAGCCAGGCAGGAAAGGCCTGTCCGGCCGTCCGCGTGTGCGGGAGAGCGGCAGAAGGAGGGAGGCTGGGAGACGGGGGAGGAAGAGCTGCGAGCTGAGCCCACACTCACCTAGCTCGGTCTGTGCGGCGGGGTCTTCCATGTAACGTCTGCCTGCTGCAGCGCCCGGGCTTTTATATAGTCCCGGGGCCGGCGGGCGGCGGGCCGGCTTTGCGGAGTTGTCAGCACAATGCTTTCTCTGCCATTGTCTCCCGCTGATCCCCGGAGATTTCGGCAGGTCCGGCCGGCGGGGGGGGCGGCTTACCCCCCAAAAGCGCGTGATGCCGTGGTTCGGCTGCTCTGGGTCTTTCCAGCCTGGCAGCAGCGCTGTCCGTGGGGCGAGGTGGGGGCTGCCTGCCACCCCCAGCGGGGAGACGCCTGGGGCCTGCCCAGAAAGGCCCCTGGCTTGGAGGGGAGACCCAGCAGGTGGGACTGGAGTGTCCTGCTCGGCTCCCTCAGGCCCTGGTCGGGGCTGAGCCCCAGGGTCACCCCCTTGCCGAGACGTTGCTGCTAGCCTTGTCCTGCAGCTGGGGAAACCGAGGCACAGGGCAGCTGTGGGACTGGCCAGGGGGGTTGCGCAGGGTGGCAGAGCCTAGATGTGCCCACCCGGGGCAGTGACAACCACTGCATCCTACCCCTGGCGCAGGCCCCGGCACGGGGCCACGGGCCCGTCTCAGCCGGTCGCGGCACCGCTGCTGGGTCGGTGGCGCCCTCAGCACACGGGGCTCGCGCTGGCAAAGCGTGTCCGGAGAAAGGAGTGGGGGCATGTCTGCAGCCAGGCTTTGCACACGTGTGTCGTGGTCCCCCCCTCCCCCCCATCACGGTGTGCATGCATGTCCCACACGTGGCTCTGGGACAGGCGGTGGGCACCCATGGTGCCCAGGTGCTGTCCTTGGCCTGAGCCCAGGGCTTACCCCAGCAACCCTGCACGGGCAGCACCGTCCAGGCCCTTTGGGGAGCCCCACAGCCTCGCGGCCTGGGCCCCTCCTGGGAGACTGGCAGGGGTCTGGCCAGGCCTCCCCTGGCTGCAAGGCCTTCGGGGTCTGACGCAGAGGAAGCCGGGAGGGCGCCCACGGTGCTCTCCGAGGGAGTGAGGTAATGGGGCCGGGCGTGCGGGCGGGCCGCGGGCTCAGCGCTTCGCTGGCCGGGACACAAAGAGGCCGATGTGCCGCCTGACTGCCCCTTTTGTTCCCCGCTAAGCAGCAACAGGGGACAAAACAAAGAGCCCCGTCAGCGCCGGCCCCCGGGGCCCTGCCTGGGGCTCCTGGCCTGACACGGGCGCTCCTCCCCGGTGCGGTCAGGAGTGCAGGTGGGGGCCCACAGGCCTCTGCTCCCCTGCCTGGAGAGCTCAGCCCCTGCCTGGAAGAGGACGGGCTTTCCCGGGCAGGTCCGGGGGGTCCAGAGATGCCACCTTCCCTCCGCGTTGCAGAGCCATAAGCCGTGCGTGCAGGGGAGCATCAACGCACCTGCAAGCATCAGGGCATTTCCAGGAGCCTGGCAGCTGGCGGGCATCTCACCCATCCCCTGCTATTCCTGACTTCTCCCCAGGAGACCCCTGCACCCAAGGGCGAAGCAATGAAGCACCTTCCTTCGAGCTGCACTCAGCGTGGTGACACTGCTTTGCCCCACTCTCTGCCTGCTCTTGCTGCGGCAGGGCCCAGCACGTCTCCGCGGCCGCTCGTGGTCCCCGGAGAGCCAGGCCCAGCGCCGGGCCCAGGCTCCCAGCGCCGGGAGGTGCCTGGAGCTGGCTCTGAGGTTAAAGGAGCAGCAGGTCCAGGGGTCGGCAGCGCTGTCCTGCACGTGGCTGCATTCGGGCAGACCCGCGCCCTGTGCCTGGCGCAGACGGCTGGAGCCAGGGCTGCCAGGGGACCCGTGGCCGGGCCAGCCAGTTTCCGTGTCGGGCCGCTAGAGGGAGAGCGAATCGTGAGCACCGGAGCCGTCCGTCTGCCGGCAGCATCACGTGTGCGCTCCCACCCGGGGCTTCCCCAGCTGCTTGTGGCCTGCCTGGCTGCAGAGCCTGCTGCGCAAGGCCCTGCGCAGGGGAGCCTCCTCCCCCGGGGCTCAGGCCTGGCAGCTTCCTGGGATCGCCCGGGGCGGCGGGTGGGCGCGGGGGCTCCAGTGTAGGGGACGGGAGGAGAATCCCGCACTGTCTGCAGCCCCGTCGCTGTCCTGCTTCAGCACCGAGCCAGAGCCTGCGGCTGAGCGGTGGTGGGGGAGATGAGAGGCGAGGGGTCCCCGGTGCTCCCCTGCCCTGGATCCGGCTGGGCAGCGCCCCTGGAGACACCGTGGTCCATGCCGATGGAGCGGCCTGGATCTCAGGGCCTGGCTCTGGCACCGACTCCCTCGGTGGCCTTGGCGGCGTCACGCGCCAAGCCTCAGGGAACCGCTCGAGCCGCGGGCAGTGGCAGTAAGGGTCCGGTCCTCCGCTGCTGGAGGGCAGTCCCAGGGCCCTGGCGAGGGGGTCTGCCCCCTCAGTGAGATGCTGGGGCCTCGGTCCCGATGCTGGCCAGGGGCATGGGGGCCGAGCGGGTAACTGTCTCCATTGCTCCCCAGGCCCCGAACCTGCCACTCCTGCTGCCATGTGCTAGGGGCCGGCACGGGCTAGGGACCCCCTTTCCTGGTCTGGCTCCCCAGCTGCGGGGTGTTTGCGCCTGGCTAACGCGACCTGCTGGAGCAGGGGGAAGCCTGGCCGGAAGGGCTGTTTCCCCGCTCTGTGGAGGCCAGGACAGGATCTGGTGTTGCAGGAGATGGGCTGCAGGTGTCTGCGAGGTCTCGTCGCACCCGGTGAAGCCTGAGGTCAGGTCCCAGGCTCAGAGGGACCCCTGGGCGAGGCAGGGAGACCTGCTCAGGACCCGGCGCAGACGCTGGGCTGGGATCCAGGGCAGGGCCGATGCCCCTTCCCCGGAGGAGCTGCGTGTGCCGCTCCCTTCCAGACCGCTCAGCCCCACGTGCCCAAGACAAAGAGCAGGCCGCGTCCTCGGGATGCTGACAAAAGCAGGCAGCTGTGCGCTGCGTCACGCTCCCCTCCACCCCCTCCGGCCGGTGTCTAATCCAACCGTTAAACGCTCCCCCCACCCGGCCCATCTGGTGCAGCAAGCCCCGTGCAATGCCAGCCCCTTTGCTGCGCTGACCAAGCTCCTGCACCGCTCCTTTGTCTGGCCAGCTGGGCCCAGCTGCATGGAAAGCATCCCCCGGGCAGGGAGGAGGTGCTGGCGGGGGCCACATGTGGGCCGGTTGCCTCGTGATGTCCCTGCAGCCTTCAGAGCTGCCCACGGCTGCACATGTGCCAGCCCCCAGGCTGCTCAGGGGAGGGAGCGCGCCGGACGGCCCCGTGCCAAGGGTGCAGCTCAGGGAGACGCGTGCCTCTCCGCAGGGCAGCGCAGGCCCTGGGGGTGATGGAGCTCCTTGCTGCATGCTGTGAAAGGCAAAATCCCCTGGGGCCAAGATGCACTTGCAGTCGCAGCAGCAGAGCATGGCCTGGACCCTGCACTTTCCCCAGTAATGCCCCGGCCTTCTGCAAGCTGCCCCAGGCCTCTGGCTCCTCCACCCTGGCTCTGGCCACGGCTGAGCCCAGAGACCTGGATCCTGCTGGGATTCTGCATGTTGCTGCCCAGACCTCCATGTGCACCCACGTCCGTCGTGGTTCTGGCCCCCCTGTGTCATGCTTCGGTGAGGGGAGGGATCCTGGTGCTGCTCAGAGCATCTGTCCCTGCCCGGCGCGGTGCTGGCACGAGCTATTCAGCCTTTCCTGGGTCCACCTCCGCCGTGGGGACTGTGAGGACTGTGACTTTCACGGGGCCCTTTCTTTCCCAGGTAGCGCATTGCTGTTAACGGGGTTCGTGACGTCCCTCTTCCTGGAGGAGCCTGGGGCAGCTCCAAGTGTTGACACCCACGGGAGCCATGTCCGTGTCGCAGGCCATCAAACGGGCCCTCGGTGCCGCTGGCACGGCCTGCCCTTCCTTTGCCCTTCTCACCATTAGGCTCCGAGGCCGAGACGGCACCAGATGCAAACACGAGGGTGGCGGGGAGCGGTTGAGGGCAGATAAATGCAGAAGAGAGGCTGCGCTGGTGCTTTCAGCCAGGCTGAACTCCCTTCGCTCTTGGGTGGCATATGACCGCAGCAGTGCACGAGGAGCTTTGTGGTGGGGACAGGCCGCTCCAGCCCCTTTGGTCAGATTGAGATCTGGGATCACGTCCCGGCTCTTCATGTCCAGGCGTGCTGCCTGCCTGAGCACGCTGGCCCCGAGAGCTCCCCTCCAGGCCATGTCTCTGGGCCAGACAGCCTGGCAGGGCTGCACCGCAGTGGGGCAAAGGGCAGACGAGCTGACTTAACGGGGCCCAATGCTTTCATTTGCTCATCGGGGTCGTGCGACACGGTTGGCTGTGGCTCCAGCACGCTTGCAATAACATCACACATATCACAAGGACTGGACGTCCTCATGAGCACCGCAGACCCTGCTCGGGACACCGCCAGGGGACCAGGGACATGTCCCAGATATTCAGTGGCTCCGAGACCGTGCTGCATGTCCCATTTCCTGCCCTGTGCTCTCTGCCCGTTCCCCGAGACTGCACCTGGGGACAGGGCAGCTCCAGGCCGTCTGCTTGCAGGAGCCCAGAGCCGCACGGTGCCCTTACGGGGAAGGCCTTGCTGTTGCTGCCGCTGCTTTTCTGCACCCACCTAGACGCCAGGCTGGGGAGCATCTGCTGCAAGGTGACGTGAGGCACAGTCCTGCCAGCCTCACGCCTGCGCCCGAAAGCCCGTGGGCCACCGAGATCTCTCCTGCTATCTCGGCTTGCCCACAGCAGCAGGTTTTCCATCATGTACCTGCTCTAACAGATCACCCGAGACCTGCGGGGGCAGCGCCAGAGCCCCCTGATCAGACCAGAGGGGCCGGTTGCCTTCCTTTCCCCTGTCTTGAGTGCACTTGGACTTTGCGGCAGCAGGATGCAGGCCGTGCCCTCGTGCCCTGCTCTCGGCGCTCTTGGTGTGGGGGGAGCAGCGTGCCTGGCAGTTGTGCGACAGGGTTGTTGTGTCGCGAGGTGCGACAAGCACGAGTCTGGGGTGATTTGGACCGGGCTGACTTGGCCTGCAGCAGGAGTTGGAGGGGACGTGACCTCTGGCCATCCCTGCCAGCCCGCCTCTTTCAGATGCTGGGACAAAAGCAAGCTCGGGCTGCAGCCCTTTTGCTTCAGAGGCAAAACAGCCCCCAAGAACAGGACCCAGGTGACGTGTGCCATAGTACCACCCTCCCTGCCACCTGTCCTCCGGGATGAGCGCCCCCCCCCGTGCTGCCCTCGCCTCCTAACTCCCTCACACTGGGCTTCTTTGAAAGGCCCGGCCCACGCCCTCGCGCCCGGAGCTGCCTCGCAGGGGTCCTGATGACAGCTCAGACAGCCCTGCTGGGTGCTGGAGCCAGCGAGCCCCGGGCCCGACGGAGCTGCCACGGTCACTCAGGCGCTTGCCCACATCCCCTGGGTGTCTCTGGTGCCAGCGCCTAGTGCATCCCCTCCCCGTCTTCCTGAGAGGCTGACCCTGCCCGCACGGCTCCGGGCTCAGCCTTCCCAGGTCCCCTGGCCTGTGGTATCCGAGCCCCTCACCCGTACCTCTGGCCTGGTCTCCACAGGCTCCCGACACGGGGAAGCCCCCGCGTGGGATGGAGCTGGGGAGGGAGCCCCAGTCCGCAAGGGGCAGGCCGGGCCAGGCCCAGCGGTGCAGCCCCGTCTCCCTGCCTTTGCCACGCTCCCTGCTCCCCTCTGGTCCCCAGTTAGATGCCACACTTCAGGGGGTGGGGGTGAGCATGTGGGGGCATCTCGCCTGAGTGCCTGTATGGAGGGGTATTTTGTGTGCATATGTGGGGGTCTCTCACGTGTGCATGCATGGAGGGGGGGGTCCTGCCAGTGCGTACATGTGGGGTGTCTCGCGTGTGCACATTTGGAGGGGGGTATCTTGTATGTGCGTGTGCCTGGGGGTATCTCGTGTCCACGTGTGGAGGAGGGTATGCCCTGTGTGCACGTGCCCGGAGGGGGGTATCGTGTGTGTGTGTTGGGGGGTAGTGGGGTGTCTCCCGTACGTGCGGGGTCACACCTGTGCACATGCAGGGAGGGGCATGTCGCGGCCGTGCGTGGGGTGCCACCCGCGGGCCGTTCCGCGCAGGCGCCCGGCGGTGCGGAGCGGAGCGGCCCGGCGGGATCGGGATCGGGATCGGGATCGGGATCGGGCCCTGGGGCGCGGGGGAGGCTGCGACAACCTCCCTGGCAGCTCTGCTCGCCGCCGGCAGCGTCCGC